CATGTTTCAGTCCTCAATGAACATGAGAGAGTGGCTAGGAGATGATGATTATTAATAATAATAAGAAGACAAAAAGCTAGATAGGATAAACTTGAGCTCAGGGGAGTTTGCATGAGAGTGTGCATGTCATGGCGGTGATGAGCATTGGCTGGATGACTTTAACCCCACCTGACCCTGATAGACACTTGGCAGGGCCACAGAGGAAGTGATCTCCTTGAGGTAGAGACAAAAAGTGGACAGTTACATTTCAATGAAAGTAGGCAAGAAGAGAAGAACATCTTTACCATCTATATTCTCCCAGAAACTAGGGATCATCTTATATTTTCTGCTAGGACTATTGAACAAAGGGTTTCCAGGGAATCACAAAAGACAATTGTACTGACTGGATAGTATTTAATAAATCAGGTCTTAAATAAGAAGCCATAAACATGAATATTTAAAACCAAATATATAATAAATAATTATTAAGTTATAAAGTACATAGTTCATATTAGGGCTAAATTCTCAGATGAAAATGTAAATACAACAGAGCAATAACATAGAATCATAATGCTACACTTTTATACAAGTGTCCAGAGAAGACACTTTCAGCTAAGATAATAAAATTCATGATTAATTTTCCCCGAACTCCCATGACCTACACCAATGTCTTCCTGCCTTTTTTCCTCCTTTTTTCTTGGAACATTTCTCTTGTTCCTGCAGGGAGTGTTGCTACAAAAGCTATTGAAATAAATGTTGAGCAATCGAACATCAGACTCAGTAGAAAGTCTTACTCAGAAGTACCATCAGATATTCCTATAAGAGTACCCAGAACTTCCGAGACTCTTGAACGTATAAAGCTCTAAAAAAGGCAGAATCAACCTCAGAGATAAAGTCTAGCACCTCATTCTACAAGTAAGGAAATGGAAACACAGAAAGTTTAAGCAAGTGACCACAGTTTCAGAGCCAACAATGTTTCGGGTCTCCTGTATTATCATTCATCGGTGAACAGAGATGTGTGTGGGCTATCCTTGTATCTCTTTTAAAACTGGCTGAGTCTTGAACACAGCACAGCGAAGATGGAGCTGTTCAAGTCTCACTTCTTCACCTTGTTTCTTCTAATGCGTTGCTTTTCCTAGGGCACTGTAGGTTCTTGACTTGAGTTTTAAACTCTGTTTAGTGAAGGCTCTGAGCTAACAGCCCATTAAATTATTTTTACTTTTAAAGTAGAGACCCTGGTCAAAGAATTGGGACGGAGATTTTGTAACAATAAACATACCAGAATAAATACATTACTTTAAATATAAAATCACAACAAGAAAGAAACCAACAGCCATAAATCCAGAAACAAGAAATACAAACTTTCCATATTTTCCAAGTTGTCTTTGTGCCTGCTTTCAACTTTTATCCCAAAAAGCTAAGCTGGCACCATTTGACCCTTAGGCAGACTTTAGATGTATCTTATCATCATAAGGTACATAACTGCTTTGTAAGAACAGAGTATCTTGTTAATGACAAAACATTTCATTGAGATTAAATAATTGATTTTTAATATACCTCTTAGAACTAAAGTTAAGTCTGTATTTGTTTTTAAAACGCTTTTAAGCAGATAATGTTTCTTCTCAAAGCATAAAGCATCTTCCATCCCACAGCCTCTTGAACACTCATAGCCATTTTAACAATAAGAGAATCTCAAATAGCTTATACCATTCTAGTGAAAATTTTATTTTTCTAGAGTTTTTAACTTGATATTTAAACAAACTCTGCTGGAGTTGACATGAAATGACAGATAGAGTAGCTTGTTTTTACTACCAAAAGGTGAAAGGTTGGAATGCTTATACAAAAGTCTATTTTTAAATGGGACATGTCTCCTGATTCTGAAATTATATAGGTGATTGAATTTGACTAATCCAAACCATGCAAACACAAAGTGTCTAAAATGCTAAACATGTTTTGAAATTTTATCATACCAGAGTTTCATTTTAAAAAGAAAGAAGAAAAAAGAAGACAAACATTTGGAGCTCTTAGCTCACTCACAATACAATCAGTGTAATAGTTTGAGAGGAGAGCTTGAAGACCTCTTAAATTCTGTTTGGCTCCAGATGTATGTCCCTCTGTAGCTTCTAATTGCTATTTCTACAAGCTTAAAATTTTAGCTTATAAGGGGACTGGACAGTAAGGTAATAGTAAACCCATTTCTTAATACTCTGTTACTACTTTAAAAAATAAAACAGACTAAGAGTCTATTTCATAAATACATTCACATCTAGAGTATTTAAATATTTTGATAGACCCCAATAAAGAAGTAAATCTTTTTTTTTTTGTAATAAAAGCCATCTGGTATTCCTCTGATGCATAAATAAATTACACATTTATACTGTTAGACATTCTGAGATAAAAAGTAAAGTCTTCAGATAGAAGTTTTTAAACACTCAGTTTTCATTTCCTTAAAAGAATAAAGACTTCCACTTTTCATTTTGATCCTATGCTTCTATATTTTCAGCTTGAGTGAAAGCAGACACTTTTTAAGTTGTGATCATAATAGACCTCATTCTTGTGGTTATCAAGATCAAGGTCAATACAAGATCAATAATCTTCCAAACTATATTTTTGGTTAAAAATTTTAACCTCCTTCTCCAACCAAGAAATGTCAAACAAGATAAGGTAAAAACTTCAGAAGTCATACAAATCAATAACATAGGAAATCAGGCTCTAATTGAGTAGAAAGCTTTTCCAAGTTGATCAAACAACGGAGCATGTGAATTCAACTAAAGGATTGCCTAGTAGTTTAGAGGAAATAATCCTGACTTTTTCCTGGAAAAACTCCAGGTTTTTTCCCCTCACTATTATATTGTACTCTTCTACTTGGAATACCAAGAAGTGAG